CGTCTGAAGCAGATCTATCTTTTTCTCTTAAGCAACTGTCCAGAGAAACAGCATCAGGCAAATAATTTTGCAAATTCTATGTTGATTTTATTCACAGAATTATAATGCAAATATACTTTCTTGATACTTTACAACTTTTAACACAAAAAGCTGCCTAAAGAAATAACAATCAAGGAATGAAACTCTTCTAGAATTGCTAGACAAATGTCCTCAAATGATCAAATGTCTGTATGGTCCTGTATAACAGCAGAACACAAGGCTTGAAATTGGTGTAAGATGCCAAGTAAGCCAATTATGTTAATGTGGTAAGTGCATTCAAACCAACTACATGAAGTAAAAAGGAAAAAAAACCATGGAAAAAAGTGATGACTAGTACATGGCAAAAAATTGGTTACATCTGATCATAAGTCCAAAGCAATACAGAACAAACTGGTAGAAATACTGTATCAGAAATAACTAGTGACAATAATTCTGTACTGGAGCAAATGACTCCTCTCTAGCCTCCAGAGAAGCGGGCGAAGACAGCTCTCCATTTCACATTTTCATCTGAAATACAAAACAACCAGCCAGGCCAAGCAAAACTTCATTCTCCTAAACAAGCAAATACTGCCGACCTGACTGATTAGACATCAGCCTGGTGTCTCAAAACAGTTAACACTTCATTAGCCAGAACTGCACAAAAATATTGAATACTACCATAATTATCTTTCATGATTAATACACTTTTTTTGTCCTAAAGATACACCATGCACTTGGCATTTTAACAGACAGCAAGTTACTTTCAAGCAGGACTCTGATGTTGTCTACACCGTAAAGACTTCAAGTAGTTTTTTTTCTGAAAAGATGATTTAAAGGATGGGGTACCCTTAGCACAACACCTAGCACGAATTGTTCTGCCCTTGCTGACATACTCTGAGTCTCTGATCAAAGGATACATGTACAGTTTTTCTTGAGCAAAGTGGGAGATGGTATCACGCCGCTATTAAAAAATCCCAGAACAACTGGTGCTTATCTTTAAAAATCACTATGCACTTTCATACACTTTCACAGAAATTGTTTCTCGCTCCTGAGCCTTGTAAAAAGTTGGGAGCAGACACTTCACAATTCTGTGATTTTATTCTGACATGACAGACACGTCAGGAGGCAGGACATCACAAACAGTGAGCTCGTTAGCTGATGTGCAACTGTGGCCAAGAAGAAATCTCAACTGGGACTAGCTCAGGCAGTTTTCCATCTGTTCTTGCTGCCCTTTTCTCCTCTTCCTCCAGCTTTTGCTCTCAGTACTAACTATTCCCCTCCCTAAGCCCTCCGCTCACTTTCTGATGTCCAGAGCCTAGAAGGGGTGGAGTGGGAAGGCAGGCTTACCTGACACCCTGGTTGGTCTAACCTGGAGGTCTGGGAGGAAGGATGCCTTCCACCCAGGTTAAACTGTCTTGTTTTAATGTTTGGGAACTAATGCTGTAGGAGTCATAGTCAATGGAGAGGAGCAGTAGACTCCTCAGTGATTATGTGAGTCCATATTACACTATTAGTGTGAGGATTTCTTGTTAAATACATCTTCTAATGAAATTTCTCGTTCCACAGAAATGGCAAGACGATAATGTCACAGTCTGAGGGTGTGGGGAGAGAACATGAGGACAGAAAGACACTGCCTCCCATCTAACAAACCACCTCATAGGTCGGCTTTAGTTCTTGTCATTAGATTTATTTATTCCTACTGTCATTATAATGTTAAAGGAGCATTCTTGGTGGCTTCCTCTATCTTGCATCTGCAAGCAAACCAGAAAGCAGCTAGGACTCTGGCTTTTAGTTAGTTACTTCATAAGGTAGAAGGATTCAAGATAAACCATGGTCTTCACAGTCACTTTGAGGACACATGGTCCCCAGGTTTTGAACTGAAAGCTACACTGGAACAATCCTGCTGCACTGACTGTATGTTGTGCTTACTGCCAGTAGATAAGCTTTAAATAAAGTTTTAAAAAGTTTTAAATAAAAGCTGTAACTGTAGATGTCATAACTATATAATGATGTCTCCTTATTTCTCTCCCACATTGACAAAAATAGATGTGCAGGGTGCTGTCTCTAAACTAATCTGAAATAAAAACCTCTCCATGTGATGCAGTCTCATAGTCAGTGGCAGCAAAGGCTCCTCCTGCCAGTTCTCAGTCTTAAACTGTCAAAATCTAAGGAAGCAATTTCCAGAGGAGCCATAGGCTTTCTTTTCTAAACACCCTCCTACCCCTGCTGTGATACAACTTCAGTAATAATGCTCTGGGCAACTTGTGGATGGGTCCCTTAAAAGACAATGATAAGTAGACACCGACAATCATGGTTTGTAGAAGTTTTCCAAAGAATTTTCTGACTTTCTGTTTTACTAATTCCTCCTGCTCCTTCCCTCAAATACTCCGACCTTCCCAGTCCAAGTTTCAAAGTTTCAGTTATGTGTTGAAAAACATATATATACACTTTAGTAGACCTACTACTTTTACCTGGAATTCAAAATTTGCTCAAGTAATTGTCCTCCTTCCTCATGCTAGGCCTATATCATGACTCAAATTAGTTTTGGAAATTGTGCTGCCTCTCAGTTGGTGCTTGAATGAGAATTTGATGATGATGAAAAACTCCTGTCATTGTCCGGTTGTTTGGGAAGCTCATTAGGTGAGACACGTAATGAGATAGCGTAAGTGATCAACTTGTTTTATGGGCTTCTATAAATGATGACTTAGCAGGTATAAAACCAAGTAACTTTTTCTAGACAATTCAAAGCCAGTAGCACTACAATAATTAAAAGATCTTTCTAAACTGTACTGGTAGAACAGGAAAAAACTCTATAATCAACTTATCTGGGGAAGCAATCAGACAATAAAAACTGAGGCATTTTAGGGACCAATAAAGCTGTGGAATCTAATGACTATAATAAATCTTTAGCTGCAGCTATTCCAGAACAATTTCCCTTGCAGTAAAAAGTATTCTACAGGGTTTTCTGTTTGAAATTACTGTTGGTTGGTTAGATGTTGATCATAAGAAACAATTGCAGAATGACAATTTTATTTTTGGCATGTATTTCCATCATGCACCTCTCCCTTTCATCATGGAGTCTTCTGGCTTCATTCAAAGGCTGGAATCAAGCAACCCTTTGACATAACCAGAAATAAATTTCTTCATTGACTTTCTGTACAAAAATACACACTAACATTCTAATGTCCTATACGTTTAGCTCAGCATGGCGTTATGTAGCAGTTTTGGACTTTCAGAACTACGCTTCTATGAACTACAACATTGGTCATTCTGCCCACAGCTCATATTTGATGCAGGCTATATGAACTATATAAGCTTATATGAACTATACAAGTAAATCATGTATACCCTTAAAAGTAGAGCTTGCAAGGGTGGAACTCAGCCCACCGAACTTGAGGTGACAATGCTGGAGGTGAGACAAAGCGCGTAAGCTCTTTCTACAGCCAATGAAGCTCTGGTTAAGGCTCTCAATGGAGCTTAGGGGAGAACTCATCTCATCCTACAGCAAAAACCTACATGTAGTCAGAAGAATAGCACTTTAGCCTCCTTAGGTTATACAGGTTAGATCTCTACTGGTACCACAGTGGAATCCTACAATTCTCGTTCAACGGTAAATACCTAGAGTAAACCCAGGTGAATGTTGACCCTGGTATCAGAATGACACGTGGAATGACATATTGTCCTAAGCCTGGCTTATGTATACCTCTGACCCTGATGCAACACAACTAGTGCTCCAACCAAATAGCATTCATTTTCATGTTTTATCAGTTCTGAGAAGTGAATATTATTGTAATTACCTATGCTGATGTTCAGTGTACGAAAGAAACACATTCATTGCAGAAAATGATTGTTCCAGTTTTTACATCCATTCTTCACCAATATAAATGAATATTCAATATATGCCATTATAAGCCAAAGTAAAAAAAATGAAGCTCCTTACTTAAATTTTGTTAGCTTATGTGATCAAAAACAACTAAAACCACCTCACATGGAAAGATGTCTTATGGATGTGGTATGTATGCCCTGGATTGTACTACCTGTGAAACATTTTAATGAATTATCTCTCAGATTCACCTGAAAAATCCATCCCATTTAAATTACTTGTTTAAATGTGAAGTCTGATCATATTCTTATGGAGAAGACAAAAAATCCTTCTCAATTAAACGTAGCAGAGAAAACTTTTAGTACACTACAAATGAGTTTAGATTTAGAGGAGTTTCCAGAGGAGTTTCTGTTAATATAGAAGAAGTTTCAGTGAGACTTTTAATAAACTTAATGAAACATTATTAAAATCTGAAATTTACAGAATTTTTAAAGACATTTTGTGAACAAAGTACTATGAAGACTGCAGCAGTGGAAAATGTTAATGTTGTAAGATCCACTCAAAGCTGTAAATAGTTTCTGCGCAGAAGGCTTTTCAGAGCTTGTATGTCCAAATAGCTAAAAACAAGTGCAGACTTGTCTTGGCAAAACCTCACTTTTCCTCCAAACCTGCCTCTGCATGCTCCTACCTAAACTAAGTCAGACAGAAACACTTACTGGGTAAACATGGAGTTGACAAGGACAGGTTTTAGCACCACCTGTGTCCCCCTGCTTAGCACAGCAAGCAGTGCTGAACCTGGTTTTTGGGGCTGGACAGCCCAGGTTGCCTCTCGCCCACCAATGCCAGAGGAGCCTGGTGAAGCTGTGACCTCTGGAGTCCTAGACTAGGAGTACAAGACCAAACATTCTACTCCTGAAATAGCACAAGTTTTTAATAGTAGCCTAGGACTAAGTGAATATATTGATGTCAGCTTTGGAAATGACTGTGTGTTTACTTACAAAAGCAGATGCACTCTGGATGTTTATTGAACTCTGGTTTATCTACATAAGATGTACAGGAGGTAAGCTTCACTGCTATTTAATCTGACTTAAATCAGTCTTCCCAGAAAGAAAGCATGCTTTTGAATATCAGAAGAACAGAATGTTACTTTCAGACTTACCTTTTTCTGTTTTGTCTTGTTGAGTTTCTTTTTCACTTTTCCCTAGAATATTAAAAATATAATTTCATTGAAATAAATTTATGTTAACAGTTTATGAGAAGAAAGAGATACAAGAAAATTACAGCTTGTACTCAAAATAAGATTGGGCTAACAGGATCTTTTTTTCATTTTTATTTTTTAAAGTAAAAAATTGATTACTGTCTGAACTATATAGTTACATAAAAGGTCTTTCTCTGCAGATGCTTCAAATATTAATTTATTGCTTCTGTCACAAAATATTTCATAAACTTTCCCCTTTAGATATTTGGTAGATTTTGGTGATACACACTTGTGATGCAAATTATTTTGCAAGAAAAAAAACCCCACAACCTGTTCATTAATCAAAAACTCTTGGGAACAATAGTTTTATATATATATATTTGATTAAAATGTAAATGTTTTGTAAACATCTGAATGCACAGGTAAATATGAACTAAGCACAAGACAGCCTGTAGCAAAAGACAGACTACATATGGTACCAAAATCACGTGTGTGTGGTTTGTGAAAGTGGCACATACAGACAGGCTTGTCGTCTCCTCTTTTTCTCCTCTCTAAACACTTTTTGATCCTGCCCTGCTCTATACATTTAAAGCATCTTGCCTCACAATTCTAACATTATTATTCTGTTTCCAGTTTTGTCCCAATAAGCTTCCAATATTTCTTCCCAATAAACTTAATAGAGAACACTAAAAAGAGAGGGCAGTTGACATTTTAGTTACAGTTATTTTCCTCTCTAACATACACTCTGTAATTTTGAGGTCTTCTTATATACTAAAAAAAAAAAAAACATTTTCTTTAATTTCTAAGTCAATTAAAGACATCTTGTCAGAATACTCAATCTTCACAGTTTTTTTACACCAACTGCTCAGAAGCATTATATTGTGAATAAGATACACCATGTGAAAATGCTGAAAAACATTTCTGTTTTCATGGAGAAACTGAATTATGTGCACACATGAAATCAAACTATTTCACATTCTACATTCACCCTTTACTACAAGCTGACAATTGCTCTCCTGAACATGCAGATAGGAGGATTCTGATTTTTATATTCAGCACAAGGCACGAGTACTAACTTGATTACAATATGGTAAATTAAATAAATACAGTCATATTGAAACCCATTCACCTCTTCAATTACATTATAAAATCCAGATTGTCAATTAAATTGAAAGAAATGACAAAAAGATCTATAGAATCAGTTACATACTATGAGATAACTTGGAGAAGGACTATTATTACTATAACAGTATATTAATGAAAGCATTGTTCAGTACTTGCTAAAATACTAGCTTTTTTGGTTTTATTTTTTGTGTGTATAGCACACAATAAATAAAATGGTCATGTCTATCCGTATGTCATCAGAGACACTGTATTTTAAAAAGAGCAATAACGTAGCTCCAGATGAGACACAGAATAGTTTATGTACTTATATTTCTATCATTTTTACCAACTCAAAGCACATGAACAACTCATTACAGGATAGTAAACCATGATACAGAATGCTGCTTTGCCACTCATTTTCCCTGTATCTTTTCCCTTATCAGGAACACTGATATTCTCACCTGACATCTTCCCTCTAATTCCCTCTAGGTCACCCAGTGATCCTCTTCTACCCATCTTGGACATTCATGTTATTTCTGCAACTTCTTTTCCATCACAGAAGAACAAGGTATGAGCTCATCACTCTAAAGCCTGCTCCTTTCTCCCACTTCTTGGTCAGCTTCATATTTTTTTATTGCTGAGGCTCACACAACATATAACCTACAGCTCTCTATACCCGTTTATATACTACGATCAATTTTCCAAATTCTCTCTCAGACTTTTTGCAACCTCTATTTGCTAAATTAGCTGCCACTGATTTCACAAAAACCTCTCCAATAACCTTTAAATATTCCAGCTTCTCCTTCTAGGTAGATGCTTTTGAAATTCATCACAACTTGACCTTGTTAGTTCTGAAGATCTTGTTTCTGTCAGTCCCTACCATTCTTAACTACAAATTCCCTTCAGCATCATATTCAGCCCATACTGCTCTGTTCCACTCCACACTGATCCCTAGCTTCCTTTGACAGTGCAAATGCTTTTAATTATGCTATTTCTGACAAAGGTTTAAAAATCTGCTGTCTCAAAGAAAGGGATATGGCAGTAAATCTTGAGACTGTTTTGTCATCAACCTAAATCAATTGTAGCTCAAATAATTCTCAGGTCTTCAAACCACTCTCATCCTTTACTCAATTTCTCTGTTTCCAGCAAAACAAACCTAGATCAAAACCACAGACAAACTATTCTAAACAATCTCTACAGGCTAGGATTTCTATCACTGTGTAACATACACACCAGGTATTCCCAAGGTTTCTACTCTAAAGAATAAATTTAATTTTTCGTATTATAATACGTTTAAGTATTTGTCAGCGCATGTTCACAATGACCCAAGTCACAACTAAAAAATGTATTTCAGACCTTGTAGATTTTACGTGAATCCAAACCAACACTATAAATGTGCAATGCAATCTGTTATTTACATATACATAATTTTTGAAACACATAAAATTACACAAGGATATTCAGTAAAAACATGACATTTTTCACTGTCTCTCCTATATGCAATCTCACGCATTTTCTTTACGTCTTAGAAATAACAGTGTCATGATACAATACCTTTTCAATTACGGAGAATGTGAAAAAGTCACTTAAAATTGTAGCAAATTTTCAATATTAAAATAAAACTTCAATATCCTACTCTTATTTAAATTTTGCTTTCCTTATTGGTATTTCTTCCTGTGATTTCCAAAAAAGCAACTGAATACAAGATTTCATAGATTCACTGAGATACAGCAAGAAGCAACGTAACAATGTGAAAATATAAAGATAGATGTTATCTTTTGACTTTTTCTTAAACTACAGTTCTTTATTCAGCAATATTTCATCATAAAAATAGGGAGGTATTTGAAAACTGAAAAGGTCAAGGAAGATTTTTGTTTTCAAACAGAGAACTGCACAGACACAACACCCTTCCCAGATTTCTGATTTAAACTATGGACCGTAACCTAGAACATTTCTCTATGAAAGGTAGATACCATACTTCCCCCACACTTGTGTTTGTTAAAAAGAGTGATCTCTCATCCATTTTAAGTTATAAATAGAAATTACACATAATGGGAAAAATTCAGGCCGAACTAGTTGCAGAATAGCTAATACTCCAAAGAAGAAACACAGACCTTATAGTAATGCCAGTTTCCTTCACATAAAACCAGCCAGAAATAACAATTACTTCTACCTGCTATATTTCTTCCTCCTTGTAAACACTACTTTCAAGTATATTTTTAAACATTCAAGAGTACTACTTTGAAAAACAGTAATATTAATTTGTGGCTGAGGGAAATATTTATCCTCATAGTTAGTATTTTAATTTTGGAAAAAATGATGACACTAGAAAGACAAAGATATTCTTCTGTGTTTTATTGCAGCCGAACATTTAAACAGGTTAAATATACATTTTTAATAGTCTGCTTGACCTTGCTCAGCTTGGCATATTTTTGTAAACATGAAGCACATAAAATCACATACCCAGTTACAAGATACTTAAAATTCGATCACAGCACAACATACTCTCACAGTCCCATAATTCTACAAATAGGCTGCCACTGTTATATAAAAAGTCTTCCATTCACCATTCGAAAATTATTCCCAAGCTTCCTCACAAAATATGGCTTTGTAAAAATTATTGCTCTGCAATTCACAATCACAGGTAATTTTACTAGAATATCCCATCTCAAACCACATCACAGTCTAAGAGTATTATTGCTTTCCTGAAAAGTCTAAAGAAATCATTTTGGGACATCTGTGTTTGTCGACCAGATGTTAACACTCACTAATGCGGAGTCTTACTGAAATCCCAAACAAAAAAAGGCAAGCATATATGATGCCCCTTTCACTATAAATATAAGCAACTAATAACCTGACTTCAAAACAGTGTTACAGAAATTTTAAATCTCCCTGTCAACCAAAAGGCAACCACTGTCAGGGTTACCAAATTGATTTTTCTTCTTAAAAATTTATCTTATTTCTTCTAAGCTCCTGTATCAGGTTTGGCAATTTCCTAAAATCACAGCAATTATTCCTGAGCCAAAAAGGAACACATGCAAAATGCCAAAGAATAAAATATGTCTTCATAATTGTGGAACAGCAGCACAGAACAGGTAAAAAGTACACCTGTTACAGTAAAATTCTGTATCATTTGAAGTCTAAATTTCAGACGTATCATTTACAAGAGCATTTATGATTGCAGGTCTTACATTTTGATATCCTATTTTTCTTAAGGTTGAATTTCCAAAGCTTTGCTTTTTTAAAAAAAATAATCTACAAGTCAAGTATTGATGCAAATTTGACTTTTAAAATAATTCACTGAATATAAAGCTTACCAAATTCAGCTTTGAGATCATTGTATTGGTAGGCAAACCAGGAGAATTTTACTGACCTCAACCTCATTTTGACAACTCAGTTTTGTTGCAACCAACACCGACTCCCTGCCAGATATTATGCAGTTCCTACATATTTTTGCTTTAAAAATCAAATGTGTATAAAAAGTTCTAATTCACACATAAAGGGTTTCCGAAAAAGTAATTTAGTAATCTGCCCTTTAACTAGTATGAATTAAATATAAACATTTTGTATTTTGTTAGACTATTTCAAAAATGACCTGAAATTCATGTAGTGTAACTGTTGACATAACATCAGTGCAAAGAGATACAAGTCAAACTTCACAGCATAGTGTGTGTCTGATTAGTGTTTTCAATAAAATGCAGTTAGGCTGTATGCTATATCAGCAGTTATAAAACATTTTAAAATTCATAATATTATATGTTTCATTTGACCAAACTGCTCTGTACATACTGTATGAATCCACAACAAAAGATATATATTAAAATTTGAAAAAATGTACTTGCTGCTACGTTATAAATAGAATATTAACAATTGTTCGAACAGCACATACGAAATGCAGCTCAAAGTTGCAACTCTGTCACAAACACAGAAGAAAAATAATGAATTCGCTAAACTTGACCAAGAACAGAAAAAAAAACCAACCACAGACAGGAATGTAAATTAAACATCCAAGTGTTAAAAAAGCTTACTAAAATGACAGTTGGCTACAACCCATTTACAATATCTTAGTGTTCGTTCCCCAAACCCTGAACTGCTTGGTAATTACATCATAAGATCTATTACAACCATCTGCTCCCCTTTTGTAGCGTATGGTTAGGGCTGGTCCTCCTGCTGTAGGGACTTTCTTTTGAAGCTTTAAGTATCTGAAAAAATAAGGGGAAATCTATATTAAAGGACCAACCAAAACACAACTTAGTCTAAAACAATTTAAAAAAAATCTTAAAGCTAAAAAATGCAACTTTGTATCCAACTAGTTATTTGAGAAAGCTATCATTTCTAGGATCTATCATAATGAATATACACAAAGTTGCTGTATAAGGTGGGAAATGTAAACTTTTAAACATCTATTTAAGCAGTAGATTTTTTTTTCTCAGCATAAGGTACTTTGTTTACCTCGTAAAGGAAATCTAGGCCATGTCACAAATACACTAAAACAATTTTTTATTTTTTTTTCTTTTTAAAGTCAAGGACTCTTACAATTGGAAAAGAGGAGCCAGGTAATGAGGAAGGGTCAAAGTTGTGAAGTGGAAAGTTCTCTACACGTAAGGGATTTCAGCAGTTGGTAAAATAAATGTAGGGTTATAAAAATGTCAAGGATACAAGATGAAAGGTTGGTTGGGGGGAAACAACCCTTAAACATTTTAAATTTGAACATATACAAGAGGTTTTAAAATCCAAATACAGAGAGTAAAGGTATCCCCAAAGTTGTAATATGTCTCCCTTAAAATATGTCTCCAACAAGCACCACTCTATCGCAACCACTGCAATTTATGTGTCAGTGTAAAACAGGATTAGCCAAAAATCCTAAATTAGTAATATTTCAAGCTGGTCTATCATATCACTCAAGTGCATCAGTTTACAAAAATATAGACTATAGCTGCAGTTAAAATAGCCTACTGTTGGAAAGGAATATTGGTCATAATTTTTGAAGTAAACTCAGAGAATTGGAAAACAGTACCTACAGATACCTAAAGATGCAGTTGCCTAGGGGTTTTTTTTGGTTTTGTTGTTTGGTTTTTTTTGTGGTGTTTTTTTTTGTGATATGCCCTGAAATCAGCAAAAAACTTTTGACTTGCACTCCCCTACAATTAAATCCCACACCTGATCTCTTCACTGGCGATGTGAGAATGTTCCTCACAGCTGAATTCATCCTCTGAACTATCTCCTGCTTCCTTTCCAAAACAGTAAGTACCTATGTTTCAGATAAAAATCAAACAACTGCTCCTAACCTGATACAAACTGGTGTCACCATGCTTCAAATGAAGCTGCATGAATTTCTACTACCAAAGAACAAGGACTATGTAGTGACATGTCTGAATATCTTTTACATTGCCTGAAGTTATGTTTATTACATAAATAGGGACACCTTTCATATACGCGTAGAGTGCCTATGCGTATAAAGGTATTCTTCATTCAGAAGAAAGTTCTTGACTCTCTCTAGTACAATGAACTTTAATATTATTATTACTGAAATAACAGGAAATTCTAGCTTTGAATACATGATGAAATGAAATCACACAAACAAAGAAAAGAATTCTGACAACAAAAAAACTCCATACTGAACCCTCCATCACAAATTAAAAAAAAAAAAAAAAAAACAGAAAACAAAAAAAACTGGTAAATAGGAATTTTACACTCCAAGAGGAAAATGTGAGAACAATGTTGCCTTCACACTGAAATTTTCACATCCAAAAAAGGCAGGTAAACATACTTAATAGTAGGAAAAAAATAAAAAAATAGTCAGAATCAGTAGTTTACTTCTGTCCCCCACTTCTTTTCTCAGTTTTCACAGATGCTATTTGAATTCTACTTTGTGCTGAAACAGTAAGTTCTTACAAAAACTGATGAACGACAATTCCTCTGCCTTCAAAGAAGCTCCCACATAACTACACAAATTAAAGATTCTTGAGTATGTTGGTACACTGTAGAAGATTTTGTGCTGATCAAATTATTTTCATTTTCTACTTCCTAAATGAAGAATCACATACACGGTACTAAATCTAAAAGTTACTTGTGTGTTTAATAACTGAATAAATAGGTTTTGATTGATTCTCTCACTTTTTCCCATGAAGGGAAAAAGAAAATATTCACTCCTTCCAGTGCTGCTATTATTATCTATTTCCACAAGATATATCAGGACAGAGCTAAGGCTAATCTTGTGGTTTAAAAAGTGTGTTGCACTAGTTTTGGAAACAACTGAAGATAAAAAAAATAAATCTAAAAAACCTTTCAAAAGGATCAGAAAAAACTACTATTTCAGAGTAAAACAAGTTATTTTTTATAATAGCAGTGTTTGAAATGGGTAAGGACTCTCTTTGTATCACAACACAATAAAAGGAGAGAGGACAACTAGGTTTAATTCCACCACCTTATTTGAAAGTCCACCTGCAATTAAAGGAGTGATTGTCCCCCTGTACTCAGCACTGGTGAGGCTGCACCTTAAATCCTGTGTTCAGTTTTGGGCCCCTCACCACAAGAAGGACCTTGAGGTGCTGGAGAGAGTCTAGAGAAGGGCAACGAAGGTGGTGAAGGGTCTGGAGCACAAGTCTGATGGGGAGCGGCTGAGGGAGCTGGGGGGGTTTAGCCTGGAGAAGAGGAGGTTGAGGGGAGACCTGATCGCTCCCTACAACGACCTGAAAGGAGGGTGTAGTGAAGTGAGGGTCGGCCTCTTCTCCCAAGTAATGAGAGATATGACAAGAGGAAATGGCCTCAAGTTACAACCAGGGGAAGTTTAGATTGGATATCAGGAAAAATTTCTTCACCGAAAGGGTTGTCAAGCACTGGAACAGGCTGCCTAGGGAGGTGGTGGAGTCCCCATCCCTAGAGGTATTTAAAAGCTGTGTAGATGTGGTGCTTAGGGACATGGTTTATTGGGGGACTTGGCACTGCTAGGTTAACAGTTGGACTTGATGATCTTAAGGATCTTTTCCAACCTAAATGATTCTATGATTCAAAATGGAATATTCAGAAAGTCATCCACTAATGTACAATACATGTAAGATTTTTTTTTTTGTAAAAGTGGGAAATTCAGTTACTGCCGCAAGTATGAGCCATAAATCACAGCACAAAAAGCAATAGAATTATGGTTCACTAAACCAAAAGTTAAAGATTTCAAGTTGATACATGGATTCTGAATTTAGTTTTAAAACAGTATATGTAAGTCAAGAGATCATCTCAACGTCACCATATCAATAAAACTGACATTGCACAGTGGAATTATCTACTGCTGAAATTTTGCAATAGTCCTCTAAAGGCCTTTTTGTTACTTTAACTTTAAGCAGCAACATTTTCTGAGATAAAACATCTTTTCTTGTTCTACAGTTCCAACTTAAAGCACAAACAAGCTGAACACTACTTTTGCTTAACTTCTTGCCTATACTGTCAAAGGTAACTATTGCTTGTTCCTACACTGATTATAAGCTTCGGTTAAAAATATTTCATATTCATTATGAAATAAAACAGTTTTAGAAAAGGCCTCTATTAATGAATACCCATGGCTTCAAACATTTCAACACACCATGTGGCTGTTATGATAAATAGGTTAGAAAGTTCTCATAAATAACACAGTTATGTATTGACAGGAGCATTTAAAATCACCTCAGTTAAGGTTCAGCATGTAATTAAAACATGAACTAAACCATGCTTTCAATCTGTAGTGGGCAACCACAAAGGCCTCCTATGTTTTCTCACTTCTCCAGCTACTTTTGGCATGCTCAAGAACGAAACACATGTTTCCTTTCACGCAAGGAAAAACAAAACCCCACAGAACTACCTGGGCACCAAACCACGTAAGAGCTTCTGCATATTGCAAAGATTAACTAACCCAGAAAGGTTCTCAGGGTCACCAGAACAAAAGAAATATAGCTGTCAGGACTCTTGGATTGCAGTTTCTGTGATTTCCTGCCCAGAGATACAACTTAGCATTTCACTCAGCACAACTATTTTGTTACGAAGAACAAACCAACAACTTGTAATAATTAACTCCAAAAAGCAGACGAAATGTAACAATATGCAGTCTTCAAATTTAGAAGCCATTTAGCTAGTCTAAAAATGGCTTTGGTAAGCTCTATGTTTACTACTGTCAGGCAACAGATGGAAGAGCTCAAAGTGCTCTTGTTCTTAAAATCAGTTATGTCAAGAAAAATGTGATGGCATGACAAAACAGTCCTGTTTCCAGATTAGTGCCCAAAGAATGTGCCACAGTTGGACTCCAATAGATCTGACTGATACAGAGAGAAGTGACAGTATAATCACTGATCCATGATCAGTTACTCTTGAAAGGAAGTTTGCATGTATTTTGACACTTGAAAGTTTCATATTTCCCTTTTAGAGTAAAAAATATCCAGCTCTGTTTGAAATCATTAAAAATTAAGTTGTAAACTAAAACTACTCACAGCTTTATTTGGAATGCTTCTGTATAACCCAGTAACTGTTACTAGCATTTATCCAGGATAAGATAAAAATTATTGCTTCAGAACTAGAAAGCAACTTTAAATGACAATAATGATATCCCTTCACTCCTCTCCACAAAGTAATTTGTTTACAAGCTTTCCACGCAGCTATAACTTCATTTTTTTGGGGGGGCAGGGGGGGGTGGAAATCAAGCACTTAAGATTAACTTACCCACTAGATCATCATTTGAATTCTCAGCTTGAACAGGTATTTCTGTAAATCAAAAGTGTACAAACAATTCAAACTGGACAGTTCTCCCTAAAAGTTGCATTTTTCTCCCTTATGCTCAAAACAGTGACTGTTCTGTAATACTACTTTTGCAGAAGTGGGATACAAATTTTCCTCAGCTGAATTTTTCTCGGCAAAAGATTAATACTTAAGTAGGCCAATGACTAAATTGCAGCATTGCAGAGTTTCAAAAATGATACTTCAATATTCTGAAACTACAAACTCAAAGCACAAATCTCCCACAGTTGCACATGCTGCTACAGTACGGGCTTAGAAAACATTCAGATACTTATTATGTTCCCAGCTGTAATTGTGAAATATTTGACTTCAAAATTCAGTTCTTTTTAATTCCATACGTATGTTTAAATTAGACATGTCACATGTCACTGGGTGCTATTATTGCTAGTAGAATGAAGGTTGCACATAGCTCCCTATTCATGCATGGAGACAGAAAAGAATTCATAAGAGCCAGGGTGGTGGCTGTAGACAGTAAGAAGATTCAAAGAGAGGGAAATATATTCTCTGACTCAGGAAGCCCATAAATAAAGTGCTCAAAGCTGGGGAAACATTTCACTTTATTTTATTTCTTACATATACTCTCTTTCCCGAGCACATACTACTGACTGGCTGGTGGGAAACAGAGCACAGCGAAGAAATCTTCCAGTTTCAATGACCTAATATGGCCATTTTTATCGAGGTAAATTTTTCTGAACTGGGAGCACTCTCAGCTCTGCTAGCTATTAAAATATTGTCATTAAAAAAACCCAAGATGCTAGATTCCAACATCACAGTTATGTTTGTCCTTAAAAAAATGGCAGAAAAATTTATGAATGTATTTTTATTGCAGCACAGATTTCTATTCCACAATATTTTTCATTCTCAATTTTTTTTTCTAAAGTAGCAAACTCATGCAAAAGATAATATACAAACCTGATTCCTCTGGTTCAGTGGCCACAACATCTTCTGTATGCTTACTTTCTACTGTTACAAAGAAAATAAGTGTTGAAAGTTACACACAGTATGTTCATAATTTTGCTTTTATTCCCCATCAGTCCCATCAAATTAGTATCAAACAAAAAGGAAGACTTAAACAGCAAAACAACCAACTAGGTTAACTTAAGATTAGACAAAAGGCAGTGAATGTATTTCATGCTCAAAAGTTTAGCTCCTATTTGTTATTGACTTCCCTTCCTTTCCCCAAAAGTGATTTTTGATTATAATTGTTGTTTGTGTGAAACAATAATGTTTGCTTCCCCATTTAATTATATTAGAACACATTTTTCAAATGGAAAACCTAAACAAATATAGTTACAAATCCTACATATTGTGCTCAGACTAAACTTCTTAGATTACTTTGCTCTAGCTGACTGAATTAATGTCATGTTTGAAAAAGTCTTGTTAATGATATCTTTAACTTCTTAGAGCAAATCTTCAAATTATATTTGACCTAGTACTCATTTAAAATTCCCTGGCACCAGCACAACAAACAAAAATTTACAGGTTAATCTTTCTGAGTAGTAATGTGGGAAATTAACATACTCCATTCCTCAGACTGAAGCTCTAAGTACTTGGTAAGAATGTCATGAAGTCTGACAAGGCCACGTGCAAGGTCCTGCAATGGGGTCAGGGCAATCCCCAACATCAGTACAGGCTGGAGGATGAATGGATTGAGAGCAACCCTGTGAAGAAGAACTTGAGAATCCTGGTGGATGACAAGCTGGACATGACCAAGCAATGTGCGCTGGCAGCCCAGAAAGCCAATCGTACCCTGGGCTGCATCAAAAGCAGCATGGCCAGCAAGTTGAGGGGGGCGGTTCTGCCCCTCTGCTCCACTCTGGTGAGACCCCCCCCTGCAGTACTGCCTTCAGCTCTGGGGTCCTCAGCACCAGAAGGACATGGACCTGTTGGAGTGAGTCCAGAGGAGGCCAGGAAGATGATCAGAGGGCTGGAGCACCTCTCCTATGAGGACATGCTGAGAGAATTGGGGTTGTTCATCCTGGAGAAGAAAAGGCTCTGGGGAGACCTTATTGCGGCCTCTCAGTACTTAAAAGGGGCTTATAAGAAAGATGGAGAGAGATTTTTTTATCGAGGCCTATAGCAACAGGACAAGGGGCAATGGTTTTAAAGTGAAAGAGGGTAGACTTAGATTGGACATAAGGAAGAAATTTTTTACCATGAGGGTGGTGAGATACTGGAAGAGGTTGCCCAGAGAAGTTGTGGATGCCCCATCCCTGGAAGTGCTCAAGGCCAGCCTGGATGAGACTTTGAGCAAGCTGATCTAGTGAAAGATGTTCCTGTCCATGGCAGGGGAGTTGGACCAGATGATCTTTAAATGTCCCTTCTAATCCAAACCATTCCATGATTCTACATAATATATTTCTCTGTTTTGTTTTTCATTTGTTTGGTTTTTTTAAATTATATTAACAAATAAAAATGGAAGAAAAAAAATGTTTTCTTTCACAAGCTACAAAAACTCATACCTGACAGCTCTTTATCAGTATCAAAATCTTCAATAATTTCATCTATAAGAGAAAGTATAGAAAGATAAAAGTATATAATGAGTTTTGTTCTGGGGTCTTTTTTGGGTTTTGTTTTTTTTTGTTTGTTTGGTTGGTTTTTTTAACATCAGATCTCAAAATGCATATATTTCATTAAAATACTTTAAGATCACAATTACAAAATATATACCTGGCTCTGTGGCTTCATGCGCCTCCTCTGGAGGGTTCTCAACAGCTAAGAAAACATTCAATTCAGAGCAATAATGAAGTCAAGCCCTCAATTGATGGAACTTAACATACAACACAAAAGAAAACAGCTAGCACACACACGTCTAACTACAAACAGTAAACTGCTATAAACAAACAGGAACTTCGATGAATTTGAGGGGAAAAAAAGAAATTACTTCTTAAATTTTCTTCCCTGTTTCACTGAAGAACTGCTGTATTCATTAGGTAAATATTTCAAAATTATACCTTCTAAACAAATCTTGTTTGGATTAAGACACAGTAACTTTAAAAACTGGAATTTAAAAAACACTACTTAATCTTTCTAAGCATAATCAGTATCCCACTTTCATCTTTTGCAGCATCAACTCCATCTACTAGACATTCTAAAAACCAAACACAAAACCCCCAATTATAAGGTTTTATTTTAAATGCCTTTTATTTTGATAAACATGCAATTCCTCAGTGAGTCCTGCTTTCCTTCCTGAAGGATGAGCAAAGTTCTTCAACTTGCCAATTATGGATTCCGTCTTTTTATTTTCTTTGAATATGGCATCTTTTAACTCATTTGACTGTCCTCTTAAGCTTATGATCACAAAGGTGACTAAACAGATACTTACAATTTATTTACCCTAGAGAATTTCTCGACTTCATTCTAAACTAAACAATTGTGTCTTTTTCAATTAGATGCCTGAGATGACTCTCCAAAGAGCTGGTATTTCAAGACAACAAAGTATACAGGACCCAGAGAGAGAGCACTGCAGATAAATAATTTTTAATTGCTTCTGCTAATTAGACAAAAGCACTGGCAAAAAGTATGCATCAAAGCAGAGCTAGTGTTGACAGCCCATAAATTCTGAATGACCATAAGTACTGGTTACAAGGTTATGAGCAAGCCTCATGGCAGGCAGCAGGCTGAGTGTCTGTACTGAACTACTGTGTTCTAATGTCCACCAAAAGCCTCACACACCCCACTTTGTGTCACTTGAGACCTTAAAGATGAATCCTCAAAGATAGTATATTAAACAAAGGTGTCCCAGTTCATAGTTAGAAATGTAACTTTATAACTACACAGACTGTAATACACCTTTACGATAACTGGCAATATTTCGTGATTGAAGATCACACAGATTACATATTTCAATATATACAAATAGCAAGATTAAGTTAATGATCTTTATGCTAACTTGACTAAAATAAATCTCTGAGTTTGAAAATCATTTATATTCAACTAACATGTATTTTAGAGGTATTTCTACTTTAATTACATTTGAAACAAAGATTTTCTAATATGCTCCATATATACAAATATATATACACGATGGGATGTGTGTGGGAGTGTACACACGCACCCCACACACATATACATACACACAGAGATATATATATACACACACACATTTTAATATATGTATATACCTGTATCTTGATTCTGAGTCTGCTTTTCATGTTTTGGTTCTGAAAGGAAAGAAAAATAAAATTCCTGGGTGGTTGATATGCACAAAGTATCCTAAAAATTTGGTTGTTAAGCATCCACTTCATATCTTTACTGATAAATGTAAAGCTCTCAAAGACTTTCTCTACTTTTGGGGCCTGAATAGATATATGAACCCTTACTGGAGCTTGTAGTAGAAATTCTACACAGAAAACAAATATCAAATGTGAACATAATGCTGAAACTTCAAACATTTCTATCTACACAGATGAAATACTGAAAACAATGACAACAATAAAGCTATCATTCTGTACAACTGCTATAATTCACCTACGCTCCTAATCTTTGAGTAAAATGCCAGTCTAATTTTTGTAACTCTGAAGAAGAAATAGGCTAAAAATATTCATTATTTTACTTTAGGTCATGTCTGAAAGTAGACAAAATGCTATCCATTAATTGTCTGAATTTTCAATATACATTTATTGAGAATTTTAGAACTAAGGTTCAATGTTAGTCAGTGTTTTGGATAATTTCATTATCTTAACAGGTACCGACCTTCATCTGAAAAAGGGTATTTACATAAGATTTTTTTAAAAAAAAAATCTTTCTACTATTGTTTTATCTTAAAAGGCACTAATAGTCACTTAGCTCCCCCTCCATCCCTTAAAAAAAGTTCTTACAGCATATTCTTAAAAAAAACATCCTGAACTCTTCATTTCTAATTAAAATCTCAAACTTGTCTTCTTTCTCTAGTTTCATTGCTACAAAACTGTGTAACTCTTCATAAAACTAGTGAAAGTTGTGTATAATAACTGAGTTACTGTATTCCAAATTACATGATCAATTCATTTACACATTTCACCGTGGGCATAGACACTCATTTCAACTAAAGAATTTTTAGCATTAGCAATAATTGCAGAAGGTAGGAAGAAATGGTTCTTTTCAACACGCCAGACACACAAAGTGGGTGCAGCCTACCACAGGCCTTCAGTTTCTCCCAACACCATGCAAGGCAGAAGTGATCACAGGAACTGCAATGGCAGGAGAATTGGAACTAGCTGATCTTTAAGGTCCCTTCTAACCAAACCATTCCATGATTCTATGAAATTGAACTGCTCTGGCCAACAATCATCTTGGCATTGCCTCTCAGCTTTCCGAGAATTCTAGGAAGCACCAGGATTGAAGAAAATATTACATCAGACAGTTTGCCAGAAGAGGGGAAACACATGTGGTAGAGATGGAGAAGATGCATTGATTCTAAAACAGAGAAGCTTATACTTCTGTTGATTTCTCAGACATTTGCATCTGAAGCTTTAAAGTGAATCTTCTTACGGATGTGAACTGCGGTTTTGGAGCTAATGTCAAAAACAAAAGCTTTACTTTGAAAGAATTTCAGATCTCCATGATGGCCTCCATCCCTTCTTTGACTTTAGAAAACAGGTGTTAAAAACTCTCTTCTCCAGAAAAAGAGCAAATATGTTACCATTTTTGATCCAATGAAAAGCATGTTGAAAGGTTCAAGAAAGATGGGCCAGGAGACCCACAGGGATGAAAACTAGGTACTGTAACTGCGAAAATGGTGTCTAGCACACATTCACGAACAACTACAACTCCTGTGCCCTGAAACTGGATAGACTGAACTCGGCATAAAAAAAAGATGGTGTGTCACAGAACAATGGCCTCACATCCTTCAGCACATCTTTAGAGACATCATGGTTAGTTGGTTAGCTCAAATCTTAAAGGACTGACATCATCAGTTGAGCTTATAGGACTGAGTGTGATTAGACTGATTTCCTCAGCAGTGAATCTCATCTTTTCTCGGGATCCTGATAGCAATTTCTGGTAATTTTCCCTGGTTATTTCCGAGACTACAATGAGTGCCTGGAAACGAGGGTGCCTGCCGTTGGAACAAACAGTGAAATTCCAAATAACTTTAACTTCATGTGGGGGGGGGTGGGGTGGGATAATTTTTTTTAAAAAAAGAAGGCAAAACAGAAAAAAAAAATCAACCAAATCTTGCAAATGCCAAGAACACTCAATGCCTCATCTGACCGGTCTTTTTCTTCTACACTGCTCCAGGCTGGAGCTCTCAAATGAAATTCCTCTAAAAAGTACAAAGGAACCATTGTGTTTTCTCTCACAACCAGAATGCCTTGAAGGGAGAACTTGGAAGCAAGGCAAAATTCTATCATGAAAAGGTGAACTTTCATGAAGAGAAAAGCAGTGTGTCATGGATTCTGTTGAACTGCAGGCATAATTTGCTGTGTAAAAAAGCCTGGCAATTTACTAGGCAAGGATAGTAATTTTTGACAATCACCTCCTACCTTGGAATCTCCCTTTGAGAAAAAGAATGGAACTTCCTATTCTCTTCATCAGCCTAATCAGAGGATTTGGAGTAATAAAGAAAGAGTAGAAAAAAACCTAAACCAGATTTATCTGATACTCTTTAAAACACTCATTGCAGCACACAGCAGCAATCGCACATGAAACCACTGCTTGCTGAAACACATGAACTAGTCACAAAATTCACTGTTATTGTGCCAGGGTGCCAGAAGAGACTGCAGCATATGAAATGTTTTTGGACTTGATTCTATGAAAAACTGATGCAAATTAGTTTGGGAACCTCCATGATCATCTTACTCCAAAAGCAAGTATAGATGACTCTTCCTAAGGACAAGGACTGTGGAAGCATTCTCTGTTCATGTCAACACTACGTGTGAAGATCCATTAAAAGTAAAGAAGTTGCACTTCTCCTTCATATCTAGATGTGAGAAGCAAAAAAAATGATTCTTGATTAGGAACTGATTGTAAAATAAGTATCTCCTGGAAAGGAGAGTAAACAACAAGCCCAGGGAAAACGCTAGGTCTCTCTTGCTTTTCTATCCTATTGATGCCAACACATTTTGTCAATGGCATTACAGCTGAGGCAAATAATTCTTTTCTGCAGACTAAGACATGGACTAAGGGCTAAATATGCTTTTGGGCCACTGAAAGTCCTTCAATGGGATTTTGAGCTCTAATCCCAAAGGTGGATGTCAGAATTTCCCTCCTGATGACAAAGAATGAACCTCAAGGTTTTCTATCTCAAATATTTTGAAGTTAAGAACTGCTGTCCTCTGCTCAGGTTACATAAACATGGAAAATAAAGAGTGCTTTGAAGATATGCTTAACTTTTCTGAAGTACAGTAGTCCCTAGAAGCATCTCACAGCACGAATCACAACCTCATACCTCTGTTTCAAGTCTGTGACCACTAGTCATCTTCTCATTTACTTTTTGATTTGGTCTTAGCAATCATTAGCAAATCATTAACCAAATCAAACTAAAACAGAGTAATCTCCAAAGAACTGGTAGTGATGGACAGGATAAAAGGTAACACTGAGCTATACAGATGCAATGAAACACAGCTGACTTGGCTAGGGTTTCATAAGAAAAAGGGTATGCAAAGTCTTCAACATTCTTATTGCACATATGTATAAAGTATGAAAAGAGGAACAATATGGGAATATAACCTATATGCATACTCTACACTTGTTCCAGTGTTAAGATCAACTGATTGCTTACATAGAGGGTTTGAACGTAAAAAAAACCCAAAACCTTAACTGAAAACTTGCAAAGTAATGTGACAGCACAGAAAATTTTAAGACAAAGTAATTTCACTTTCATACTAATGAAAGACTTTGACACTCTCATTTCACTAAATCTAGTAGTTATCATACCATGCTCTTCATTATAATCGCCATGCACTCTATCCTCTGTTTAAATAAAAAAAAATTAATATGAAAATTAATGGAATTTTAAGACAATAAATGCACACAAATAATACAGTGTCAAGTTTATTCAAAACAACAAATATATTCAAAACTATACTATTTTATACTGTATTAAAGTTAATAAGAGTTCAACAAAGGTGAAGATTTCTAAACGATCCTGTGAGAAGAACTGAATCATTTTCTGGCATCACAAGATAGACTTAAAAAAGACAAAGCACTATCAGCAGGCTTTTCTTATACAGTTTGTGAACTCATTTACAAATTACCTACAATTCAGAATGGAAACACTCATAAATCATTTCTATATACACCAAACTTCTACAATGGAATTTTGGAATCCACTTGTTACGGCTTGTTTGCTTTTTAAAAAAGAATTTTTTTAAGATACTACTTTTTTCCTGACACTTATGACCCTAATTTCAAACTCTTTGGCAAATTCAAATTATTTTTTTATCCACAGAAACATTTCTATGCAATTTAAAATACAAACATCCATTCTCCTGGAAATTTAACCCTCAAAATATTATTCTGCCCATTTGGTTGACATTTCAGAAAAGCAGTATTCATGTAGGTCTTTGTATTTTTTCAGAACGTAAAGGAAAATATAGATGTAATAACTCTACTAAACAACTGATGCTGTCTATGAGCTCCCATGTTTTGGTTTGTGTGGGTTTGTTTTGGTTTGGGGCCAAAATTCAATGAAACTTCAATAAAAAGAAATAAGACTTTGGACTGTACCTGTGTAATGTTCCATAGCATCTTCTGGCAATAGCTCAGAGTCACCTTAAATAAAAATATTTAATATTTTATATTCTAATCGAATTTTCATGCAACAGCTGAATGGCACAAGAGAAGTTAAAAAAGTCACATACTTAGCTCAAGAATAACAGAACTAAACATACTGAGTTAATACAATGTTTTATTTGAAAGTGACAGCTGGATTGTAAAACACATCCAAGAGCTACACCATAAGTCACACAATATAAGAAGTTCATGCATATTTGTATTTAGGCTTAAAATTAGGAATACAAGTAGGTCTTTGAGAATCCATTGATTAGACTGGAAGACTCCCAACAGAACAAGGTATTTATGTAAGTATTTGTGGATTGGATTCATGGAGTTTTGTGCTCACAAATGTAAAGGCAAGCTGCAAAAATCAGGCTTACTTGAAACTATTTGAAAAACTGTTTGCAAATAAAACAGTGATGAAACAGTCAATATGACACATTACATTGAAACATGTTTAAAAAAGTGTAAGTGATTATATTATAATCTGAAGTAATACAAATTTACAAACCTGGAGCTTCTGGATCACTTACTGTCTTTTCCACATCCATATCATATTCATATGAAACTGTAAATTAAATATGAGAAATATTTTTGAAAATAAAAATATGAAAGATTTTTCTGAAATTTTAATTTGTTTAAAATTTAATTCTGAAATTTCAATAGTCAATTGTTTTAACTTGCAGCCATAATATGTCCATCAATAGCTAAATGTAGCTCCTTAATTGAACAGACAAATTAAAACCTTACAAACAGACAACTGCAACTTGGCACATGGCAATCTAATGGAAGGTGTTGTGCCACTCTCTCTTTTAGTCCTGTTAGACTCTTTGTATGAAAACTAGATCCACAAGAGCCATTAGTCTCCATCAGTACCTTTTTAATAGTTGTTCTAATATGAATTAAAAAATGTAATCTTCCCCTATCCTCAAAGTTCTAAAGTAGCTTCTTTACTAATGTGCAGGAGGACCACCGGTGACGATCTACAGAAGACAAGGCAAGAGCCAGAAATCAGACCTTGAGAAATACATACATTTGCTTCTGGCATCACAGATTTAGAGCAGTTTATTTTTTTTTCATTGCCTAGTTAAATATGTGGATTATTTTTCTCTGTGACTACAATTCTTTGCGATGTTATGAATATACTCAGTACAATACATCTGAAAACACATAGTACTGAAGGTAAACTATCCATCCTTTTACTTCAAAAGCATCACAGCTTGGATTCTAAATCGGTAAACTGGAAAGCAGTAATCTCCACAACGACAGGAATAAGTAGTTTTAGCTGTATCAAACAAATAAAATTATTTTTCTGTCATATTTGGCATCAAACAGGACTGTAAAGTCCAGAACTAACAGTGGACCAAAGATAAGAAGCCTAGTCAAAACAGAAATTGATGCCTAATGTAAATGGAAGAGGCTGCCTGTACTATAGATGAGCATCTGGAAGAAAATACTTATCAGATTGCAGGGAAAATGTAATATCCACCTAATGTTCCTTCATAATGGGAAAGATGAGCTAATGCCCTTGTATGTACTATCAAGCACAATATGAAGATGACTGTAACCTAATTGGATTAGTCCGGGCAAAATTTCAAAAAGCTTTAAAGATGAATTAGGGCGTGCAGAAAAACAGTGCAAGGATAGTTCAGAATGAAGTCCTTGGTGCTGACTCACTCTCTGATAGTATAACTGGCCATAAAGAAACAGACGGTCCTGAAGAAAAGCTTCCAAACTGGATGCCTCTGAATGGTGACAGGTTCCATTTGAGAACACAAGTTTCTGATTAACACCAAGAATACTGGCCAGAAGGACCTTAGCATTGTAGTCTGTAAGACGACAGTAATATAAGCAATAAATGTCATTCTCACTTTCTTGGACTGTATGAGCACAGACCTCTTGCCTGTTCAAATTCCAATCATACACAACAGCTAGAAACACACAGAAAAGTAAAAATGAAGTTTTTGCATCAATGAAAGCAAAAGGTTTCCATACCTATCATCTGTCCTTTTTAAGAACTATTTGCAATAGCAAATATGATACAGTCATCTCAGTCAAAGTAAAAATATGCAAGACAATCAAGAACAGTTGTCTGGAGCAAAAAAAAATTCAAAATTACATATTCCTAACCCAGTCTAACCTTCTCTATTTTGCTTTCTCATATAATTTGCTACATTTAGGTAGAAAACCAATATTATCAGGTCTGGAAAAACAAAATTATACCTGGAGCTTCATAGGGTTCAGGCTCCATTGCTCCAAGATCATCTGCCAAAAGATCAGCATCTGAGAAACAAACATTTATTTACATGTTTTAAATTTTTTAAATCAATACACGATACTGCAAACTCTATAAGAGGATATTATGTAAGAGTAGTCAAACATCTTAGAAGAAATTTGCTTAGAATTTCTGCTTATGCCAACAAGATATGTATATAGATTAAAAAAATAAAATTAGTAACTTTATTCTTACACATAATATTGAGAATGTGTATACACACATAAAATCTATACACATTTGCTCAAAAAAAAGATGACTCTCCACAGAAATGTATGTATAAAGAAAGTAGAACATATTCACTTTGCCTTCTTAATAGTAATTTTAAAGATTTAGAGTAACTGGAATTGAATTTCTCCTCTATTCCTCTACTTTAAGTCACACTATGTGGATGAATAAAAGAGATACAGAAACCAGGAGGTATAATAGACCCAGACTGAAAATAATTAATTACTTTAGTTGTAAAGAAAGAATCTCAGTGTACTTCCAGCAAATAAAACTTTTAGATGACATCCATTATATAAGTTTTTCAAAAAGAGGTATTGAGACGTCTGTAAAATTTTCAGTAATGCAGATAAAAAGGGAAAAATGTTTCTGAATGCTAAGTTGGATTTAGATAATATGATTATGCTTTAATATTTTGATTACAAACAATTTTTATCATCCTGTCAATGCCCCAAGACAGAAGGATATGAGCATCTTCTTTACATGATGTTATGTTCTCAGCAGGACTTGCAATATTGTTCATGCATAACATTCTCTTAGAGAGCCACATCAGAACGAAAGCAGAGTGAGGATAAGTCTGTCTACAAAAGGCTGTGCTACTAAACTCTTAAAATTTAGCTTAATAAAGTAGAAAGTCCAGAAGCAGCCTCCATATAGATATTATAGAAGTCCCTCTACTGGGGGGAGATACGCATACCCAAAGCATAGATTAATTTGTTTGGTTGAAAGCCAATATAGCAGTAATTAAACCATAATATATAGTTATCTGGATGCCAAAACACATGGCATTAAAATATCGCATGTTGATTTAGAAAATATTTATTTGCTAAATAATACTTGCTGTGGTTGACATTTGCTAAGTCTCTGTTGCAAATAAAAATTATGAGCCAAGTTTTTAATGAGACATACCTCCATTTGCTTATTCTTATTTTTTGGTAAAATTTAATTTTAAATATATTTAGTCATTCAAATACCTTTCTGAACTGAGTCTGGTGTTTCATATGCTTCTGGCATTTCATTCTCTAATTCTCTGAGCAAGTCATCTGTTGTCGGAGCTTCCAAAGTTTCTCCATGTATTTCTTCTTTCACTTGCCACTGGTCATTTATACTTTCATCTACATCTTCATGTCTCTCTCCTAATCAATGATACAGATCGTTAGGGAATACATACTCTTTGGTAAATTCTATTACCAGCAAATATTCAGTCTTCAGCACACTCTTCGTGTTTTTCAACTAGTCCCTGAAGGGGACGGGAAGGGAGAAAGATGACTTGTCTGCACCTTCCAGCAGTACAAACCCGAAGTACCCACACTGACTTGCCACTGCCACTTTTGCCCACAGTAAAAGCCATCATTGTTTATCCGTTCGAGCACTCTATGCAGTATTTTGAGGAAGTTTTTGTAAACTGACTGATTCGAGCTACTGCTGCCAAACACCTCTGAGTAAGAGGCCACAGTTTTAGGATTAGGTGACTGGACTTTCCGAACTTTCTTGAAAATGACAAATTAGCTGATTACAGTGTTTTGCACAGGCAAAAGTATTTTAAGTGCATACTAAAACCAGACTCTGAGATTTGTCTAGACTATGGCAGGATTTATAAATTCTTCAGTGATTTCTAAGTGTTAATGCATTACCAGGCTGGGAATGGAGAGCTTCATGAAGAACAGACTGAATTTCCTCTTCCAAGTCTACGTCACCATTCTTGTGCTCTAAAATGATTGTAAATTGCAGTGAAGGTAAGTGCAAAAGGCAAAGTCTAAACATTAGCTCAAGCCTTGTAACTTTTAGTAGCCTCCATAAAGTCCTTATTCCATTCCATAAAGATTGACTTGGTGAACCTCTACAACTCGTGCGGTTACAAAAACTATTTCGTTTTGCTTACTCTCCAATATGGGAAGTATTGCAGCAATCACATCAGAATTATTCTGAAGATGAATTGGAAGAATTTATCTACACTGCATTTTCCACACATACATTTTTTCTCAGTGGCATTAACATTAATAACTTCAGATAAATATCCAAACCAAGAGTTCTCTTCTTTTACTAACACTTTCATCCATTACTTTCCTACAATTTGGGCAGAAGCACTTGTATGTCATATTTGACAACAAAACATCACTTGTAGAAATAAGGTTTTGTTGGCTTTATAAACAGGGAAAATAGATACTAACATTATAATACCAAGGTTTTCTCCCGGCAATTCATAGCAGAATACATCACAAACTGATTTCAGGGACAAGTGACTGTCATCTAAGACACCAGCTCAGGACATTTGTATGAAGTGTTGCCTTCATATAAATGTCCTACAAATAACACTGAGAAACCCAACAGCACAAAACCAAATCACAGCCACATTTTTTCAAATAAAGATCCAAAATG